TCTCGTCTGCACGTGTGTCCTTCCCTCCATCTCCAGTCGCAACGATCGATTGTCTTGCACTCGGTCTATTCCCGCTGACGTGTCGTTGACTCAGCCACACCGACCTGGCTTCACTTGACCTTTGTCTGTGGCACACCATTTTTTTCACCATGTGCTAAGTTGGATTATTCTATTGTGGTTTTCCTGCACTTAACAGGATCTATTTCATCAATAATGTCTCAGAAAAGCGAGACCTCCCAGAAAATGTGTGTATCCTTCTCCAGGAGTGTTCGCCCCGGGGCCAAAGAGCCTCGTTCTGATGGGTGTGATGGATGGTTGCACTTAAAATGCATCTAAATCGACGCAGACAAATACGAATGGTTACAGAATTGCCCCTCTCCATTCCTGAAGGTCGTGTGCTGCAGGTGCTTGGTCATTCCTTCCAAGGATGACGCATATCCACTGCCAAAAGTCTCTATAACCCCTATAACGCCTGCCACTTTTGTGAAAGTGGCCCCTTAGTATGCAGATGTTATTTCTACGACACTTTGAAAGCAGCTCCTGCAGCTGCACCGCAGCAGAAGCACCCGAAAAAAGGGTAGGAATATCGTCTGCCGCATCGCCCTCACGGACAGACTCGACTCCGTCGTCCACGACATCCAGGCGCGGTGCGTTTAACATGTCACGGACAGTTGAGAGGTGCCCCCGCGATTCGCAGGAACCCATGCAACAGAGGAAGCTCCCTCCGAGATCTCAGTGCCTTATTGTTGTCAATCTTCCGGAGGCCGGGGCCACTACTGCCCAGGCTCGCCTGGACCACGACCTGCAGCTGCTGAAGTCGCACATGATTACCTTGTTTGATGGCGACGAGGTGGAACCAGCAGCATTGATCAGAGTAAAAGCGGCATTCAAGCATTGAAAAACCCCGCCAGGATAATTCTACGCAACCACTGAAAGCGATTCTTTGAACAGAAAGCGAGGCCAAATAGATACTCCAACGGTCCACAAACTGAAGAGAACTCCGGTGCGATTTCTTAGGGATCTTGATCCGGACCAGCGCAATAAATTGAAAACTGCATTAGAAGAACTCAAAAAGCGATGTGCCAAAGTGGAAACTGATCTGTGTATACGGAATCTTCGTGTGTATCGATCATCGTCACGTATCGGTGGTGGAGTTTTTCTTTTTGTCCGCTCGGGTCTCCCTGTTCGAGTGCTGGAGAATTACGTCCATCCGGAAGGATTTGGAGAAGCCCTGTGGTGCAAAATCAAGCTTTCTGTCGGAGGGTATACCACAATTTGAGTGATTTACCGCACACCAACTTTGTACGTCCCAAAGCTTCTGGCCAGCATACAGAGGTACACCTGCGATGAACATTGTCTTGACTTGAGTGATTTCAACGCGCCCGATGTTGATTGGGAAAGGGATATGTGCTCTCAGCAGGCAGATTTGTTTTCCAGAGAAATTATTTTCGCTATCCGGGCCCTCTCGCTTTTTCAGCATGTTCATGTGCCCACGCGGATAGTTGGGGATTAAAGATCCATCCTTGACCTGGTATTTTCGCTGAGGCAATCAGCTACCACTAGGATTGACCACCTGCCATCAATTGCATTTAGTGATAATTCCGTTCTGCGTATACACTGGAGGTGCGGCGTACCCCAAACGGACAGACCACAGGACGGACGGAATGTGTGGCACTTATCCTTCCTGTATATGCGTCAGGCTATCAACAGTGACGTCTGGGATTCCCGGAACCCTGAGGATGTGGATGTATCCTGGGAGTTGTTGCGTCATAGAATCCAGCAACTCGTACTGGAACTATCTCTACCTCACCGCCACCAAACACACGCTATGGGCCCGCCGTCGTTTGACCGAGAACTGCGGACGTGCCTCCGGCAGCGGAATAAAGCGTAGTCCAGGTAACGTGCAACAGGCGCAGGATATGAGGAATATCGATGCATCCGGAATCATTGTACTGCACTAAAAAAATGCAAGAGAACCAGATTCGAGGAACGACTAGCAACGGATTCAGTACAAGCACCAAAGCGATTGCATGTCTACCTCAGGCGACGACTCAGAGCAACGCCTGGTCTCCCGACTCTCGCCAAAGATGGAGCACTAGCCGAAAAAGATGAGGACAAAGCGGAGATGTTGGCATCAC